TGTGGGTGTGGGTGTGGCTGGGTGTGGGTGTGGGTGTCGGTGTGGGTATGGGTGTGGGTGTCGGTGTGGGTATGGGTGTGGGTGTCGGTGTGGGTATGGGTGTGGGTGTCGGTGTGGGTATGGGTGTGGGTGTGATTAAATGGAAGAATAACATCCACACCAGAGATGAGCGAGCCGCGGTTTCACACCGCACCGCCCCGCCCCGTCCCGCCCTGCCGGCGGGGCGGTGCAGAAACTTGACGGGGCGGGGCGGTGACGGTGCGTCGCAAGATCTTGCGGTTTCCCCGCCCCTTGGCAATATTGAGTTTTTTTTAACATTTTTCTTAAATGTTTATTTTTTTTCTATTTCGAAATTTAATCTTTATATACAGGGTGGCCTATAAATAATAGCATAACGACAAGAAGTTTAAATATTTCTACTTCTGGTCATTCAAAAGGATTCAATTTTTTTCATTCGGATAATGTAAATAAATCCAACTGTTAAGTGTTTCAATTGACGTCAACAAAGCAACTTTACTAGTTGTCAAGTAAAAAAATACATATGAAATATTGTGTAGATGACTTTTAGTTGTCGTTTGACAGAATGACTTGAAAAAATTCAAATAAATCTGCTGAATGATACTATATGGATGACATTGAGAGAAATTTCTCAACCAGTCAATTTGAAAGTTAGCAATTACAATGTTTCGAAGTCTCAGACGTGGAACACTGATTTTTGTTGAAAACTTGCCAACTGGGTAACTAAAGGCTTTCAGATACGCGTTTTAGTTATCAAGCACTAGTTCCAGTATTCAAAGTAGCTAGTCCAGAAAGTTTTCTATATGTACATTAATGTAGTATCATTTAGAAGATTTGTTTGAATTTTTTCAAGTCATTCTGTCAAATGATAACTAAAAATCATATACACAATATTTCATATGTGGTTTTTTTACTTGATAACTAGTGAAGTTGCTTTGTTGACGTCAACTGAAATACTTAACAGTTTGATTTACTTACATTATTCAAACGGAAAAAAATTGAGGAGAGTTCTATTACCAACCAAAAAATGAGCCCATTTGCATGAACAGAAGTAGAGCCATTTAAATTTCTTATTGTCATGTCATTATATGTAAGTCACTCTGTATTTAAATTATGCCTTTTTATCTCAGGAAATATAATAGTAATTATGAAAAGTTACTAAAAATTTCATGAATAAATGACTTCTGACGACAGACTTTAGACGGGGCGGGGCGGGGCGGTGACGGTTTTATTGTTGAATAGGCGGGACGGTGACGGTGTGAAACTTTATCAACGGGACGGGACGGGGCGGTGGCGGTGTGACTTTTTGGCTGGCTCGCTCATCTCTGATCCACACCCACCCACACCTACACCCACACTTTTAATGATCTTCCCAGGGGCTAATTAGTCGAATTAGATCAAAACATGAGGGGGGGGGATCGATAAGTGTATTTGTCCCCATCCTGATGTTGCTGCAAATATTATATTTGGTAGTTCAAGATTTGATAAATAAATAAAATAATTTTCATTTATTATAAATTCGTCATTTGGTCGATCGTTAATACGGCTATGAATTAAATTAAAAAAATAAATTTTCATTTAAAAAAACTTGCTATTTGCTATTTATTTGATGGTTGATCGAAGTTATTACTCGTTTGTATCTAAAACAAAAAGATATTATTCAAAATAACAGATACAAATATTTACTGATGAATAGTTAACGGACAGAGTAAATCCATCAACAACATAATCATTCATATTTTCAATAGCTTTAGTACAACTTTCTGATTCATCATAACTAACAAAACTAAAATATTAAATAAAAAATAAATTAGTCAGTTGACTTGAAGAAGTAAAAAACAAAAACTTACCCATAACTGCCTTCAATATTTCGATCAATTGGTACAACTTTAGTTGATATAATATGACCAAATCTTGAAAAAAGTTCTTCAAGTTGACTCTACAAAATTAATAAACATAAAAATAACTTTGATTCATACAAACAAAAGAAATTACTTCAGTATAATCTTTTGGTAGATTTGTAATAATAATACTGTTAGCAGCGCTTTAATTAAAATAAAAAATAATCAAATTTTAAATAAATATTTTAGTTGTCTATATACTTTCCGAAATCAGCCATTATTGTAATTTAATATGTACGTATGACAGAGAAAGAGAGAGAGAGAGAAATATACAAGACAAGCTAAAAATGAATTCGATTGGTTAAGTTTTACCAAATCAAATCAATCATATTAGCCTTCATTTGAACAGAAACAAGAATAATAAACACGCATCATTGCATATTGATTTATCTATTCGTGACTTTAGCGTAAGGCCTTGTCTACACTAGAAAAGTAATGCGATATTAATTTCGAATTAAAACGACATGCGTCTACACTTATGAATTTAATCTATCAATCAGAACTGAGAAATAGCCACTATACTATAATGTAATCGAAGTGCATAATTTTGGCGCGTGTTCAAGAAGAAAAATGTCGCTTCTGTCTTTCTCTTCAATCGCTACAGTTCATCGTATTGAAAAGATCTATCTATCGATAAAATCGAGCAATTTTATCGAGACCCTTTCATTATTTTAATTAGTCCATTGAAGTCTTTCTCGATTGGTGCATTAAATTTAAATCGTCTTTCCAAAGTGCATTAAATCTGAATTAAATTTTCGACCAATGAGCTTCCTTAATTCGGTATTAAATTTTCTAGTGTAGACAAGGCCTAAGATTCAATTAGAACATTTGTTATTTATTTCTCGAAATAAATTCATTGACGATAGATGGAGCCTGTCATCTACGAATAGAAATAGAAACTATTTTATATTCTTGTTTCTATAAGACATACATTTAATTTTTCTTTTAATATATAAATTCAGGGGTCGCAGCGGGGGGTCACAAGAAAGAAGGATTTCGAGAAGGAAACTTTTGAAAAAAAAGAGGAAAAGAAGGAAGAGAAGGATTTTTCAGAAGTCCTATGTTAAAACACTGAGATTATATTAGAAGACTGCTGCTTAAGAGTAAGAATGAAGTCAAATGAGCAGGGACGGCGCGACCGGGGGGGGGGGAATAGGGGGTCACCCCCCTCCTGCTTCGGAAAATTTTGATTGGAGCTTTCTCCGAATTTGAAAATTTTGGTAGTGCCAATTCTCTCCAAATTTGCGGGATCATTAGGCGATTTTCTCCGATTTTGGAGAACTGCCGTAGACAATTTTCTCCGATTTTGAAGAATCAAAGTGCACAATTTCCTTCGATTTTGGGGAACTACAGCAGACAAATTTCTCCAATTTTGGAGAACTACAGTAGACAATTTTCTCCAACTTTGGAGGACTACAGTAGACAATATTCTCCGATTTTGGAGAAATACCGTAGACGATTTTCTCCAACTTTGGAGAAGTACAATAGACAGTCTTCTCCGATTTTGGAGAACTACGGTAGACCATTTTCTCCGATTTTCGAGAAATACAATAAACAATTTTCTCCGATCTTGAAGAACTACAGTACACAATTTTCTCCGATTTTGGAGAGTTAAAGTACACAATTTTCTTGGATGTTGGAGAATTACAGTACAGAATTTTCTCCAATTTTGGGGAGCCATAGTAGACAATCTTCTCCGATTTTGGAGAACTACCGTAGTCAATTTTCTCCGATTTTGGAGAAAAATAGTAGACAATCGACCCTAAATTTGGCAAAAATCGAAGTTTGAAGAAATCTATTCTACTATTTTTTTTCGGTTCTTGAGATTTTTGAACTACATCAATAATCTAAGTTCGTGTTTAAGCGAGAAATTAGTATTATAACTAGATGCATCTATCATCAATAGCAATATGTGATACGTGGATGTTAACGATAACTGAACGAAGAATAAAATTTTGAAAAAAAGAAAAAATCAGATTTTTGTTGGAACCATCGGTATAATATTGCATGAAGTGCGGTCAGAGTAGTCGAAGGAATGTCGGAAAGTCTGCTTCGAAAAGAAAGCGATGCAACCAAAAACGTTTGGAGACTTCCTCCGAATTTCAACAGTGGGAACGTTTTTTTTTGCTCTTCAATTTTGACTTTTTGGGATTGGAGGCTCCGATTTTCGGGATACCCCCCTCCTGCTCTGACCTCTTCGCGCCGTCACTGCAAATGAGATTGAATTTCAAACATCAATAATTGTCTCTTTGTCGTGTGATATGTTTGTATGGCTATCCTGAGTGTAAGTGTGGATATATCTTCATTCGTTTAACACCCACAAACCACTCACACGCAACCGCATCTATACCTAAACCTGATACAGAAGCTTCAGAAAATTTTTCTGATTCTGCTGCTCGGCTTCAATCATGCTAGAAGTTTACACTAAACGTTCCAGCCCGTTTATCAACTCGCGAAAACAATTGTTAATTTTATGGCGTACGATGCTCTTTCTATTTGCGGATAATTTGCAACGCAATGCAAAGTAGCCATTCCTATTTGCCCCTTTTGCCAAATAGTGAGACAGAATTATGATAAATAAATAAATTTGGCCTAGATGTGAGAAGTTAAGATTTTCGAAGTTAAGCTAGCTGATTGACTAAATTTTGGCGCAAAAAGTTGGATTCATTCCGTAAAATTTTTCTAGCTTGCTGATAAATATTTGTACTCATTTAGTATTTTCACCATCTCGCTTGAATCGAAATGCTATACTACTCTTGAATCCAGATATGCTTCTCTCGAGGTTCTTGCTATAAACGGTGTTTCAAGGTCGTTTTTTATGTTCTGCAACGATTTAAGTTAACTGAACAAATGTCTAATTTCTTAGTCGATGTGTCTGTACACAACTTGGAATACTTCTCTAGTGCTCACATCGATGTAAAGTTCAATTATGACTCATCAGTTTTCCGAAAAGAAAAATTAAAAAATGTCCTTGAAACCCCAACTTGATTATAAACTGAAAACGCATAAAGAGACCTACATTTCAAACGGAGAGGTCTTAGATCATGTCTGGCATTGATTGATCAATTTTAGTTCCGTGGAAGAATGACAATTAATAAGGAATTAAATTTTGAAAACATCTACACATAACACTCTATTTTCGTCCATAAGCACCATCTTACTTATTAACAAATGTTGATTGTCTTTCTCCCATTGTTTATCAATGATAATACCAGTAAAAACTGAGCTTTTCTTACGTTCCACTGAGTAAAATTCTGGGCCGAACGTCAATATTAGGAAATTACTATTCACGTAACTATAAGGATAGCTATAATATGGCTCAGGATCGATTATGGTTGGTACCTGAGTATATGCCCCCAACTTTGAACAGTGAGAGAATTCCAGTGAAGAACTATCTAAGATGTCTCGAAACCTGCACGTTTGTATCATGTAAACTGAAGTCGTACATGCATAGTTTGACACAATCGTAGATAGCTTTTTATCTAACGCAAGCATCGCTCTTTTGTTTTTTGAAGTCTCTCAAAGCATATTTGTGTGAAAAGTAAGAAAAGAAAGAAAAGCAGGATTTACAGAGAAAAGAAGGACAAAGAAGGATGACCTGAAAAAAGTAGGAAAAAAGAAGGACCGCTGCGAGGTCTGTATAAAAAAATATTTCTTACATAATGTTTTTTTTACAAATTATTCTTCATCATGTTTTCCAGATAAATATTACCTTTAAATATGTTGCTTTTGTTTTCGTTAAATCGTTCTTTATTTGTTTAATGTTTTCTTTTAAACTTATTTATTTAATTCTCCATTTTATTTAGATTTGTAAATCTTGTAGCAGTCATAATGGTATGTTAAATAAATATTTAAAATGATTTTATGTTTTTCTTTTATAGACATGGCATTAGAAGAAGAATTTATATGTATACATGAGAGGATAGTGGAATTTAACAGTTAATAAAAACAATTTCAATTTTTAATATTCTCATAGTTCACATGTGAACAGATTATATAACAGTACGATTATAGCATCATAGACACACTTGCTCGCATAATAGTGAGGATGAAAGGTAGTGTCACAGTGAAAAATAATATGAGAATATAGACGAATTCTGTACTTAATTTCACTACTTTTCTAATTGACTGTTGATTGTTCCTAGTTCTAACCAAGAGTTGTAGAACATTTGTTTGAGTAGTAATAATCAATGATTCAGATGATATAATAAGTTACATGTGTGTAAAAAAACCAAACAAAGAACATGACTACTACATAACTTCAAGTCAAATTATGAAAACAAAATAATTCGTTATCGGTACGATTTCGATAACTGAAAAATTGATTTGATATTTTTTAATTAATTTCTTGAAAATAGATTCACTTTATTTAAATTTTCTTGCGCTC